CTCTAGAGTTCTAGATTTTTCCTCCCAAAAAACATTTACGTGTTTACTGTAGACTTTGGTTGGTGTGATATACAGATATAATCAACTATATTATTTCCTTAGATAATACCATATTCTACAGCTATGTTCAGAGGTTTATTTAGATCTTTATTCTAGAGCTTGAGTGATGCAGGATTTCTGAGACTGATACTGATATTTGGTGGTTTAAAACTCCGCTTTCGCTTTCTTTAACATTTCTTATATCTAGTGATTTATTTACTTGTTCACGTTCTGCCTGCTCTGATTGTTTGCGGAATTCTGAGCGCGTGTCAACAGGAACGTTGCAGAGTGCCCCCCCAGGAAAAAATCTGCAATGTCAAGACATTGTAAGAAAATTGTCCCCCATCTCTTTACTTTTTAAATTTTGCAATATTAAATGCCAATAATAACAGACTGGCAGGTATCTCATACCAAACAATAATATCAGCTTTACCCATTCCTGCTTTTTTTGTGCTTTGTTACTATTTAACAGGATCCTTACTGAGAGCCCAAAGCTCTCCTTATTGGTCCGAGACATAAATGCCCTTATGGGTGACAGATTTGGTTAGAATCTGAGGGAAGCAGGCCAGGAATTAAACTGAGATAAAAAAAAACAAGTGAACCAAGTCATTAAATATTAAAAAAAAACAAAAAAAATTGACCTGTAAACTTGGACTCACTACTCCAGTATTAATGTAAAAACTACTTGTAAGACAAACGGCATTTTAGAAAGTGTCGAAAATCCAATTGGCTGTTACAATACTGTATATTAAGTATCAGATAATCCAGATAGTTCATGTAACAAACACTGACGCAGGCAGCGACCGCTAGTGGGAAAGTAGAAAAATGTTGAAAACAACAGAAAAGAGAAAAGACTGGTCCAAATAACTTCATCCTTCTGTCTCCAAAATCCATATAAAAATAGAACTCGCACTTAGTTTAATATAAAACCATATATATGCTGGAAAGAGGAGTCTTTGCTCATCATAGAAAGAAAATGACTGAGGCACGCGGTTCCTCTCGTTCTTTCCGCTAGGCTGAGGTCTTCGTTGATTGGTAGCAATAAGGCACGTGTGACTACTGCAATCCTCCACCATAGTTCCCTTTTGTACGAGACACCAGTAACTTCACAAAAGCCAACATTTCATCCTCGTCAGATGGGCTGCAGCGCTGACAGCTTCACCGCCTGAACAGAGACAAGAGCCATGAGAAAGAAAAGATTGAGAAGAAAAAACATTAGACAAAAGACGAGTCATTTAACAGGACAAAGAAAACTCTGGAATTATTTAATGACCAACAACATGAAGCCATTTACTCATTTTCCCCATCCTAGCAGCACACTTACAACAGGCAGCTGAAGCTTGTACAAACACAACGTTGAACCGCTCGTCATTAACTTTTCGAGAGAAACCCGGCTTCATAAACAGAGTGAAGTGAAGCAAAAAGGTCCATGTCCCACCAACAACACAACATCAGTTTGACACCAGAGGGCGCTGTTGCACCCAGAGCGCAGAATTAAAGAGAACGTGCAAAAGAATTATTCATCTGATAGTGGCACACCAAAGTGTTCAATATTAAATAACTAAATATGTGGATAAAACAGACAACATAACATGGGATAATGCGAATATAATGGAGTTTAATAGAGCTCATTTATATGGAAGTAGCATGATGACAAACAAAATGCAAGCTATGCATATAAAATTTTGTAAAAAACTAAAAAACCCAAAACAAAAAAACCCAATCATTTAATTATTAAATAAATGTCAAAAGTGAACAATTTGAAATAACAGTCAAAATATTAATTCATGAATTTAATATTCTGAGAACAGAATTCAAAACTGTAGAAACAATAACTAAAAATAAACAAAAAAGCCCACATTTTTAGATCTAATGACACTTTGATGCTTTATTTTATTTTTGTTTCTAATGAATTGAATAAAACATGTTTAAAAACATAATTTGTGTTTGAATTTGATTTTTAATGACACAGATCGTGATCGGGCTTTTTTTTCTCTTGTTTGTTCTGTAGTGACTCATATTCAACAGAGACTACATAATTATTTAGATGCAGTATATTGTTAAATTTAATGGGACTTACACAGCTGACTTTTTTAAATGCCCAAACGAACAATAAACAAAGTAAAAAGACAAAATTTCAAGCTGAAAAAGTTAAAATTGTACAAAATGTATGAAAGGAAAATTGTTTGTCAGTGTGTCAGTAAAGGGCTTTCATAAATCAGAGTAAGTCATACATATAAATCATACTAAGAAAACAACATACCACATTCATGGTTCAGTCACACTTGAATATTATTATTATTGTTATAATTCATTTTTCTTTAATGTATTTAATATTGAACACTTTGGGCTTCCATATTTGAAATAAAAAGAAAACCCAGGGAAGTCAAAGTAGAGATTTTTTTGGAAATTACAGAAAATAATTGAATTTGCTCTTCCGTCCGTTCTTACTCACTCGGGTCAGACAGAAGTGTTGGCATGCAGCCTTATCGCAACAACAGACTAGACTGTAGGGGGACAAGGTGTAGAGGTTAGTGTTGGCATGGAGCCGCCACGTCGAGGAGCAGGAGAGGTTTATTTAACATCGTCCTCAAAGTGCACGTGTGTGTGCGTACCTTCTGCCGGCTGGTCATCCAGCTGCGGATGGTCGGCACGAGGACGGAGCCGAGCAGGATCTGAGCCGGATGGTAGATCAGGAGAGGGACTGAGATCAGAGACAGGTGCTCATAGCCCTCAAACACGATCTTCAACATGGGGATACCTGTGATCAAATAAATAAGGAAGACCTCATGGACTTAAAGCTAACCCAGCATTTAAAATTAGACTTCAGAATGAGATGCAGCGTAGACGAGATGACTTTGTTCACTTCGTGCCAGCTCCGACCTGCAGCAGAGCTCACGACCGAGCTCAGAGCTTCAGAGGCCTCAAAAGCTCTTTCTAACTCCTCCAGATTTCTCCTGTCTTTACTTTCAAACTTAAAACTCCACAGAGTTCTCAGGAGATACCCGACACTTTATACAAGTTTTTGCGCGCATGCAGGAGCTTTCTTCAAACACAACTTTGATGTGAAGTTTCTCTCTAACACAAAATCTGAGCGTCTAATCTGGATGTCAGACGCAGCGTGCTAGGGTACATTTAAGTACATGCACTCACCCAGGGTTAGAGACTTGTGTGTAGAGCAGAACATGATGGCGACGGTGTCCGCGGGGCTGAACCTGGAGCCTGGCCTGCAGAGACAAACAGGAAGTTAAAACGTGTCATCTGTCACCCTCCAGACGGTTTGCAGGTGGTGACCTTTAAACCCAGAGCAAAATGTTGGAGCAGTTCTTATTGTTTTAGGGAGCCAATACATGGAATGATAAGAATATGATGAATAAATGAAATGTATAAAAATAAAATGTGTAAATACCAAACTGTGAAAAAAAGAAAAGAAATGAAATCTTAAAATTTAAGATATGATCAAAGTTGTTGTTTTTCTGTTTTTTCTTAATTTCCACATTAAGAGTTTAATACTGATTCTTCTGGAAGTAACTTGATGACAAAACCTACAAAAAATAAATGGTGAAAGCCACTTAATGCTACTAAGAAAATTAAATAAAAAAAATATTTAGAAAAACATTTCATTACATTTCTGGGCACAGCTATGTAAAAATAATCAATATATTGAATATTAAAGAAAAGAAAAGGACAGGTTGAGAAGGAGGAAGCTTACCTGGTGGAAAAGGCAAATGTGAGCAGCATGAAGCTGATCTGGATGGAGAAAACTGCAGAGCAAGAAAAAAAAAGAGGCAAATTTAACTTCTCATTTCATATTAAGCTAAAATCACATTTAGATTTTCTTTTTAAAATATTATTTTAGATCTTATAATAATAAGAACAATGAAAAACAGTCCATTCATTACTCCAACAGTCTGTGGAGTGACCTCTGCGGTGGAAATCTTCAGTAACTCCTTCAGTAACGGTTGATTTTATTAGTTTAGTATTGAGTTCTTCGATTAGCCCTTTTTTGGATTGATTCACCAATATCTGTTTTTCTACACTGCAGCTGCTTTGCAGCTGTTGTAGTTTGTACTAAGCATCTGTAAAAGACGTTGTGTGAGTCATTTGTGATTTATCATGGATTTTTATTCTAAATTAATAAAAATGTATGGATACTGAGATGTATTAGTTCTACACATTGTCTCTGGAAGTTTTCATTTTTAGACCAGCTAGCCCGAGGGGTAAAATAAAACACCACACTGTTTGTGAGGGAATAGTTGTACACGTTAATAGTCTATAAATACTGTTTCTATGCTTGTGTTCAGTCAAAACACTGTTTATTTTTATCTCAATGTATTTGTGTTCCTATATTCAGTGATTACTGTATTCTTTCCTTTTAAGTTAGCTTGGCTAGTTACCAAGGTAAAATTTAGGATTAAATCCAGTTAATGTTGATTTTGACAAGAGCTGTAGAGAATTTATGGTCATTTGGCGCCCTCTAGTGGCTGATACAAACTAGAGCAGTCAACTGGGAAACATTGACTACTGTTTATTCATTTCTGATATTTTTATTTGTAGATCACACTTAGTCGAATTGTAAATAAAGGGAATCTCAAGTCTTTTTTAAATCCTTTACCAGATGCTTGCAGTGGCTGTAATTACTTAAACATTCAAAGAAATCAGGTTCTGATGATTATACTCAGTCCTGGCCCCGGGGTCGACAGTGAGCAACATGAGGCATCATCATTTTAGAAACTGAGCCTGCTTATCGCTAACCTCAATAAACAACACAGAGAGTATAAAAACACTGGACGTGACTTCCAGGTCTGAACGGTGGGCTTCCTTAAATCTGCATTATTTTTAATGACTAGTAGAAGGAAACACTGGCAAACCGCTAAATTAACAAACACAATCTTTAGGAGTTTTTTGTTTTCTTTTTTGCCACTGATTTTACTGAGAGCCAGAAACTTCAAGAAACCAATTACAACCAATCAGGAAGTGCACGTTTCCCTAGCAACCAGAGGTTAAATTATGTCCAACATGGCAAACAACTCTTGAACAATCTTTTGAGATCAGTTGGGTCAGCTTAACATATGTTTATGGGAAAACGGTCTTAGCAGACAGTTTCCTTTATGGGAAACATAAAAGAACAACTTTACGGCCTCACGGCTGCGAGCCAGGAATGGCTAATGGCTAATGGCTAATGGAAGTGAAGGATTTCATTGGGTGGTGGCCGGTATGCTGGAGCATTTGAAAAAATGTCATCTGAACAGATAGAGGTAGTTTTTGGATGTGAAAAGTGAAGCCAGTGTAGAAGTGTCTTCAACCTGCATTATTTTTAATGACCAGCAGGGGAAGATCGCTGATTCAGCAAAACTAGCAAACTGCTAGCTTAACCAACACAATCATTGTTTTTTTTTTGGTGCAGCACATTCTCTGCCACTGATTTTAACGAGAGCCAGAAACTTCCAGAAACCAGTGCCAACCAATCAGGAAGTGTACGCTTCCCTAGCAACCAGAGGTTAAATCGTGTTCAACATAGCAAACAACTCTTGAACAATCTATTGAGATCAGTTGGGTCAGCTCAACGCACGTTGGTGGGAAAACAGCCCTTATCTGCCTTGATCTATGTGCTTAGCAGTTTCCTTGACAACTTTATGAGCTCATGGATACGGGCCATAAAGAAAAGGAAGAGTCAGGACTTCAGTCATAAATTCGGTAGTCGGCAGTTGAAGGACAGGACGATACCTGTGGTTGCAAACAGGCTTCCAGTGTTATAGAAGTCTGTGGGATAACAGCTCTCTGACCTCGGTAACACTTTCCAGATGAGCTCATATTCTCAGCCACTGGTTTCAGTTTACAGTGAATATAATATGAAGTCCACTTGAACTTTTGGCAGTTCTCAGAGTAACCGAGGAGAAATGTATTCAGGATGCTTAAAAAGTTGAACTTTACTCAGCTTTTCAGCGCTAGCACCATTATTTTTAACACTTCCTCTGATAGTTTAGTTCAAATTTACAATTTACATTTGATTTCCATTAATCTGCCATTAATGACACGCAGAAGGTGTACTGACTGATAAGGCCGACCAGCAGCAGGCTGGTAGGGTCCAGCTCGATGCTGGGGTTACTGAAGGTTTCGCAGAAGGTGGTGTAGATGATCATGAGGAGGACGGCGCTGCTGATGGCGCCGAACGGGGGCTTTTTCCTTTCCAGAAACTCCCTGAGGAAACCGCGACACACCTGCACACAACCGAGCAAAGCAGCTGATTTAGAGTTCAGACTTTAGACCAAGACTTCAGGACGTGCGCCGCTTCATACCTGACCCAGGATCAGAGGCACCACCACCGTCATGAAGAGCTGAGAGAAGATGGAGGAGAAGGGAACGGAGGACGAGGAGCCGAGCTGGAGGAGGAAGAGGAAAAAATAAATAAATACAAATATTATCACAAGAAAAACACAAATTATTGATCATATATAAAAAAAAACAAAAAACAAAAAAAATGGCCTGACTTCTCCCCAATAATCATTAAAAAAATTGTGCTTAATTTTAGTTCTTTTTTTTTTTTTTGCCTGTCCCATTTGGTTCTTTAGCCGTCAGAATTGTTGTCTGAAGACCAACAAGGATACCCAATGGATTTATTTTGCCAAATGGATCATCATGGCATTGCCGTATTGGTCCATTTGATCGACCTTTGTTTTTTTTTAATTTTAGTTCTTTTATGACTACTTTTCATTTTTTATGACCCTTGGTTGCGTAGTGTCTTTTTTTCTTTAAAAATAAGGTAAATAAAAACTCTCATCAGTTACTGTGTGTGTTATTTAATTATTCGTACATCTTTTAAAGCTCTTCTGGTTCTAACTTTATTCTGATTTTCATTTTTATTGTTTTGTGACTGTTCGGTTGTGTTTAATGTCCTTGCGGTCATTTCAAATCTCTTTATGGTTGCTTTGTGTGATTATTTTAGCTCATTTGTGGTTTTTCGAGCTCTTTTTGTGTTTAGAGATATTTACTTTGCATGCATACTTATTTATATTCTTATCTGGACATCAAACAAATCGAAAACAAAGTTTAAATTTATCCATTTTTCACTTTCTTCATATTTGGACTGGTTGCCGTTTGGTAACTTGCTTGTAGCATGTCTGTAATTTAAAAGTGATAATTTTGCTTGTTTTATGTCTCAGTTTGGTTGCCATGGATCTGTTTATGATTGTTTTATGTTCATAACCCGACCAGGACGTCCTTACAAACGTCTAAGCCTCGTAAGGCGTCATGTGGCAGGCGAGACTTACAAAGAGCAGCAGCAGCAGAGGAGTGACGACGATTCCCTGCAGGGAAAAAAAAGGAAAAGAGAAATCAGGATTACAGCTTTGACTCTTTGTTCATTACTGCGGGATCCCTTCATTACAGTCACAATCCTCCAAGGAACATGAAACAGAAAAAAAACTGTCTTACCAAGAAGCTTCCAAAAGCAGAGTTGAAGATGGCGGCGGCCTGCACAAACACGCACTCAGTTTATCACTTTGGTGACACTGCAGGTTTAATCTGACCTGCTAATCTTTGTGTTTGTGTTACCTCGTTGCCTCCGACAGCCTTGGTGAGAATAACGGCGGAAGAGACCGGAGGGGGCATGCAGCTCACCGTCTGTAACCTAGGCAACCACAACAACCACAGGGTAAAGAAGAAAGAGGAGGATGAGGATGAAACAGATCTGAGTCACTGCCTGCCTCCTCAGAGGAAATTGTGAGGATGGAGGAATGTTTTTCACAAATGAGAAAACAAAACAATGCAATACGATGTCACGCAAACAGGTCTGCAGGTGGGAGGGGCTTGTGTGAGACTGAGATGACCATATAAGGAATATGTCCCCTCTGTGATGTCATAAAGATCAGAAAAAACTGCCTGAAACATAAAGAGTTTAGAGCCGTCTGAAGTCTGGAATTGCTTCCACATAGAAAAAATGTTTACAGATCTTATAAATCTATATTTTATTTACAACTGATGATACAATTTTATTTATTTATTTTAATTTGATGACTTCACTTGGACGGACCTCAAAACAAAACTGTGAAAGAAAATAAAACATCCTGTTCCTGGTGTTTCTCTGGGTAGCTGGAAAGAGGGAAGTCTCACATTATACACAAACACATAGAACCGGGTCTGTAGTAATCTGTGAATGTGTGTCTTTATGCCAGCCCTCCAGGTACTGTGAGAATAAAGAACAACATTCTCTCTCTCTCTCACACACACACACACACACACACACACACACACACACACAGGGTCCTACCCTCTGAGCAGCCATTGGTCGATGGCGGTCAGTGCGAGCACCTTGAGCAGCAGCCAAATGGCGAGTGGGAAGAAGATGAGGGTGAAGGACTGAACAAAGAGGTGGAGCCGCACGTGAAGCAGCGCACTGGTCAGCTCCTGCACACAGAGACGGAGACTTTTCCAAACTGCACCTGAAAGCAACGCTGCGTGTTCCATATCTGAGGACAGAAGCAGGATGGGAGCAGCTCACCTCCGTTTTTAGCGACAGGCCGCTGTTGAAGAAGATGAGCGAGACGGCGATGTACGCTACGGTGACCTCCGGCTTTAAAGGACCTGACAGAGAGAAACAGATCAAATTTTCAAATGTGACATAGTCTGTGTAATACAGCAGGGAGAGGAAGCAGTCATCTGCTCTCTGTAGCTCTGCATGGAGACCTGTTTTTACTGCAGTATGGAATCAAAGGGTTTTCACAGAGCATTGAGTGGGATAAATATTATTAATAATATATATTCTATTTATAGTATGTTATTATTATCATTATTATTATGTTTGAACAAAGTTTTTGCAACATCTCCTAATGTGAGAATAGAGGTAATGATCTTCTAATGGCATCCGATGCAGTTTCACCTCAGTGCTGCCTTTGTGACGTTGACATAATAGTTTCCTTAATAGGATCTACTTTCGGTCGGTGTCTTTGGTTCAGCTCTTGACTTGTTTTCCTCTTATTTATCTGTAAGGACCTTCTCTGTTAGGGTGTGCAAATTTTCCTCTTACGTTGCTTGTATGACCTGTGAGGTTCCACAAGGTTCACTCCCGGGTTCATTGTTATTTTCTTTTTACCAGCTTCTTTTAGCTAGAATCATTCAATCTTTTTATGGCATTTCATATCATTTCTGGATAACCAGCTGGAGGCTAGTTAACTGATCATCCCAGATTACGCACTGACTCTTCAATAGCTACCTTGTTTTAAACTTCATATATAACTGAACAAAGACTGATCGCACCACAACTTCTGTCTCCAAGTCAGCTGTGTCATCCATGCTCGCAGTTTACAAAAGATGAGAGGTGCATGTCTTTTAGCCGAAACAAGACTAAGGTGCAACTGTTTTCAACACAACAGCAGCAAAGAAACAAAAACACACCACACCTGTGCTGATGTCATACTTCCAAAGCATCAACATTCCATGTTGGGATTTTATGCTCCAAAGTCCCAACATGCAAATTGGCTGAAAAAACACTGTAGTAATGATGTGAATGTGTTATGAAGTTGAGACTTCAAAATGCGTGACGTCACAATGGATTTGACCATCTTTTATATACAGTCAATGGTAACACGTTAAAATAAGGGTCCAGCAAATACGAGCAAGAAAACCCACTGACATTTGAAGGCGGCGTTTACGAGCAGCGCCTAAAGGCACCACACCGATAGTGGCGTCTTATCTAATCTACAGGAAAAATGAGCGGAGGGGTTATCAGCTCCGGTGGCGGCTGATTTGTAGTTATCAATGCTCATGCTTTCTCCTCACTTAGTTTACTGGGAGTAATTAAAGATGCCGATAACGTGCTCGTGGACGCGCACACATGAGCGCGGAGCGGAGCACGGAGTTGGGTTGACGTGTTGACATTACCTACTGAATGCAACGTGTCACTACAGCGGAACTTCAGGTACGGAGGGAGACACACACAAACACAAGGAACCACTGTGACGTAGAGCCTGGCTGTCCCAGGGCCAGCATGTGGGGGAACCACTGAAAAAAAATCCTGAAATGTACACTTTGTTAAAGTCTGACCAAACCTCCATTCATTACATCACTACGTTATAAATAAATAAAACCAACAGTATTTGCACTTTGTTTCGGCTTAGGTCGTATTCACAGAATAATGCAATGTTAAGTTGATAGTCCACACTTTTCTTCAAATTTCAGGGAAACAGCGCTAAATAAAGTCTAAAAGTTGTTAATTTATGGAAGATCAAATGTTGCCAGGTAAATCAGCCTTGTGGCGATTTATTTTGTGAATCCCAACGATTGATTTAAGGTGTTAAGTCTTCACCTGAAAGAACACCTTTGGCCCTGAGAGAAAAGTAAAAGGATGGCAAACTCTTTCACAGCCTGGCAGTAAAATGCCCCAAACTGACCACTTAATAAACGGAATATTTGTTAATTTAGAGTCATTCAAAGAGTGAACACATTTTAAAGCAACACCATTGAACTTCAGTGATGAACTTCCGACCCACTCACCTCCTTTCACTCCGATGCTGGGCTGCAGCTTGGCCGATAAGATGACCAGCACGATCCCGACGATGAACCACTCCTTTCGTATCCTCGCCACGAGGCCCATGTTTCAGCTCGCCGGTGGTCCACCGGCTCTCCCCGCCTGCCCCCCACGGTCACAGCAGCCGGGACAAAAGTTCCCACAACTCCGGCGCTTCTTCTACGAAGCTTTTACTGTCACAAAACACAGGCAGTGAAAGCCGAGGCTGCTTCCGGACACATGGGCCCAAACTAGCCGTAAAGACCAGATTAGAGACGCACCGACTAACTCATTACCGTAACACTACTAAAAGCAGCACAACATGCGTGTAACGATCAGAATCTGAAAAATGTCAATAAAAGATTACATGTTAGGATACAGTTTCATTATTTATAGATTAAAAAAAAAACACACAATACAAGTAAAAGTATGAATAATACTGTTATAAATAAAGCTGTGTAAGAAACAGGTAAAGAAACAATGGATGTAAGGGTCAGTATAACATTAACACATTTTAGTAAATATTTAAAAAGTTATTTATTAAAAATATGTCCCATTTATTTAACTATAAACAAATAATCATAGCAAACGTTTTAAAAAAATGTAAAAAAAAATATTTAGAAAATTGTTATAATGAGATATTGTTTTAGGTGAACAAGTCATAACAATATTTTAAAAAATTAAAGTTTGTACAAAACAAAATAGACAAATTTTAATTGACTTGGAGAACAACAGTATATAACATGTAAATAAGGCTGAAATCCCAAACCTCATGCTTTGATGTCCATTTCTCTTCTTACCACAGTTTTGTATTCAGTATTTAACGTCTTTTAAAACAATCAAGGTCACTTTTAATAGAAGACTTATGAACAATAACCAATGACAAACAAACTATATATCAAGTCAATAAAACTACATTTTAACACTGAGTATTAAAACTGACATTAAAACATTACAAGTGCTTGAGTACAGATGAATTGTGTGGTTGTAGTACATTGTTAACTATGCAGAAAAGGGATCTCGTGACGTGCTGTGATTAGACCTGTGTGATAAGGAGTGTCCTTGTAATGACATCATTACGACTGTTGTACATTTCTTTGTGGATGATGGCCTTCAGCTGATGCAATTCAAAAGTAAACCACGGTGCAGTGCGAGAGAAGGAAAGGTTTCTAAAGGAGCCATCTTTAGTTTAGCGTTTATCATTTTCACTCTTATTTTTAATTGATAGTATACGGAGGCGAGATTTGGGTAAACGATTGTAGATGTTTGAGGCTACCCCAGCTATCATATAGCATCTTATAGTCTTTGTTAGCATGCTTCATTACTGTGATCTGTGTTTCCTTCCTTTCAAATGTTTGAATGACAGTAAAAATGAGTCTTAGGCGAGATGCGGGACACGTTGCTAAACTGTCGCAGGGATAACACAGACAGACAACCATTCATACCTATAGCAAGTTTACAGGGTCAGCCCTGTAAATACTGACTCTTTGTATAAATTAGATTTGTTTATGAATAAAAGTCTTTGCATGTTATGAAATGCTCATGATTGTTCTTCACTCCATCACATCTGTATGATGTCTCGATGCCACATGAAAAAAAAACATCTGAAGAAAAGTCAAAGGAGCTTGTAAAGAAAAGCATCTGGACTTCTTTAAGTTGCTTGAAGACGTTTCATCTCTCATCCGAGAAGCTTCTTCAGTTCTAAGGTCAAATGGCAGAGAGTCCCAGATTAAAATCCAGTGGGGGTGTCCCCCCCAAAGAGGGACAAAAGGACCCCCTGATGATCCTCTAATCACCTGAGCCAAGGTGTGAAAACGGGTGTGGGTCCCAATTAACCAGGGTTTCGGGTGAGCTCATTGGGAAACCTGATTAACCTGATTAATCACCTGACTAACCAGGTGATTAGAGGATCATCAGGGGGTCCTTTTGTCCCTCTTTGGGGGGGACACCCCCACTGGGTTTTAATCTGGGACTCTCTGCCATTTAACCTTAGAACTGAAGAAGCTTCTCGGATGAGAGGTGAAACGTCTTCAAGCAACTTAAAGAAGTCCAGACGCTTTTCTTTCCAAGCTCCTTTGACTACGGTGACCTGGATGACTGAGAACCTTCACAGCCATCTGAAGAAAAATTTAAACAGTAAATTTGTGCTGCTGCCAAAACGTTTGGCCTCGACAAAGCACACAGCAGATGTTTCAGGGTTTCATCTTTATTCACGGTAACAGGTAACTCTTCTCCTTTCTCTCCCTCATATTGTCAAACGACGGCCTGTTAAAAACAGGCAGGAGAGTAGTAGTCCTCGGAATCCACACTGAGGTCCTCGCGTCCTCGTTTCACTTTCCAGGCGAGCAGCGCCTGCAGAGCGGCGGGCGAGGTTGAGGTAAGGTTGGCGCTGTATTTTCCAATCGTGGCGTGGGCGTGAGCGGAGGCCACCAACACCTGATGGAGGAAAAGCAGCAGGGTCATGGCCTTACAGTCGACATCTTGATCCACATAAACTGTGAGGAAATGCCTTTAGACTCTTCAGTCAATTTAACTTCATGACTACTTCCTGAGTCACAGGTCTCAAAGCTCACAGGCTGAAGGACAGGCAGCAGAAGGACTCTAATGAAGAATCCACAAGTGTAGCCTTCACTCTATTTTTATCTTAAGTGTATAAAAGAGGTAACATGTCCTCCTTGTTCCCGAGGTATTGCATTCACAAACTGTGTGACAAGGATACCTCATCAGGCTTTTACGGCCGACTGCTAAAGACGCAAAGAAAAGACCGACCTGCGCTCTCTGCAGACGAGCCACATCTTCTGTGGTGCAGGCCACCTTGTAGCCCTGCAGGTAGTACTCAGCAGCTTTCACATACTGACTCTACAGAGACACACAGAGATGGGGAAGCGAGCCCAGGTGTTTACGAGGCAAAGCTAACATTTTTCAGCTGCTATAAATCAGTGTGATTGGCTATTGATTCCTGCACTGAATACTGTGGGGTGTGATTGGTACCCTGCTGAAGCAGATGTTTCCCAGACACAGATGAACGTCGATCAGTCTGTGATGCAGTCCGCTGCTACGAGACATGGCGACTAACTTCTCCAGACACGTGACCGCCTCCTCGAAGTATCCCTCGCTGTGCCACACACACACACACACACACACAAAGATGGAAAATGAACACTTGACTACAAGAAGGTTGCTTGACTCACATTTGCACAGCGACCTCCAGACAATGTGCTGATAAACTTAAACTGTAGAAATTTCCTTTGTGGTTTTTTTAATTAGTTTAGATTTGTAAGCAGTTTTTTTTTTTAACCTAAAGTCAATTTTTTCTTTACTGTAACTAAATTAAATGTTTTTAATTCAGTTTTAGTCACTATAATACACTTTTGTGTGTGTGTGTCTGTGTACCTCTTTAGAGACTTTGCCGAAGCTATGCAGGCCTTCACCGCTCTGTCTGTGCCGTCTAAGCTGTGAAAAATCTCCATGCTGGTGTTAAAGAACTGGACACACACACACACACACACACAGACACAGTTGAATAGTTTTTGGGTGGATGTGCGTATGAAATGGGGCTCCACTGAAATCTGTTAAAAACACAGTAAGTGGCTCTTTTGTGTGACTTGTTGCCTACACCACACACATGTGGATTCATCCGCAGCCTAAAATAGTCCCACCTAAACTGCCTTTTCCCCTCGGGTTCTGTGTTTTTGAGTTTGATTTTCTGTTCTTGGGTTTTACTATTAACACCTCTTAATCTGTCTTATTCCATTTACTTCAAAGCTGCGTGTGAGACGTCAGGAGTAACATCCCTCCTGAGTTATTGTATTCCAGCAGGAAAGCTGGAAAAGCGTGAAAAACAGGATTTGCTTTTCTAGTTAGTAAACACAGCCACTCATGCATCATTAGTAATACAGCATAATATTTGTGTTTTTGCACTTAAAAAACGCAGCTGCAGCTTGTTCGTGGATGGAGAATGCTCGGTGTCTGCCTATGAAAATTCTGACTGGGAACTTAGAAGTTCCGACTTCCTGGAAACCACCCTTAATCTCATTAACCTCCTGTGTTCCCTTTTTTCTCTGTTACTGTTTAGTCCCTCTTCTTTTCTGTTTAATGTTTGCATTTGCTTTCTTCCTATTTTACTTTGAAAGTCCATTTTCTTCACTGTCCTGTGAGTTTTACTTCCTGTCTGTCTTC